TATATATATATATATATATATATATATATATATATATATATATATATATATATATATATATATTTTTTTTTTTTTCTCTCTCTCTATATATATAGAACCGGTTATCACAAAGTGTACATAAAACATATATACAATTAGTATACATGAAAAACAGCTTTCACAACCAGTTCAAAAATTCCAACCATTTCTAACAACTTGTTCAAAATTAAAACCTGTTCGAACAACCAGTTATCACAACCAGCTCAAAATTACAACCAGTTATCACAACCAGTTCAAAATTACAACCAGTTCTCACAACCAGTTCTCACAACCAGTTATTACAACCAATTCAAAATTACAACCAGTTCTCACAACCTGTTCTCACAACCAGTTATCACAACCGGTTCAAATCGAGGATATAACATTCTAATAATTATGACGATGACAATGGGCATCGATGTAGTACGTGACACTATCACTTCTGCGCAACGGACACCTCATGCGAAAGAACGACGCCGTCAAAATCGAGGCGGTGAGCGACACCATCGGTGAGTCGGAAGACGACTTTTCGTCATCGGAAGCACTTTCGCTTCCCGCCTCAACGAAAACATTATCACCTTCGATCACAACACCCTCCACCACACTCTCAACGACATTAGGGAGTCTATAATCGGCTTCCTCATCATAATGCTCAATAACTGGGTCGTCGATGTCCGATTGCTGCAACATGTTACGTGCCCAATCTCCGACCCGAGGGCTGCCAAAAACTGCAGTTGCAATGTCGAAGCGCCACAACGTATCCCGTGCGGCGTATATATGCTGTCGTGCGGAACGACGTCGATGGGTTACATTTGTCGGTTTGCGGAAGACTGTGCGCAATCGCCTGATTCGTTTGTTTTTGTTCCACTCCAAAGCGGTGCAACACACACGCGCCTCATACGACTTGGGGAAGTTCGGACGTTTCGTTGCGTACTTGTGGATCACGGAGTGGAAGCACTCGTTGTTGAAGGTCATCCTCGCACGTGTGTAGTACGCCATCTTCGTATTCGAAGCGAACTGTTCAAGACAGCGCGTGACGACGAAATGAACACGCCCCCCCGCCTCGTACAATGGATCCCTGTCTGGACCCCCAGCCGCTTTCCACAGGTTGGACCACATCTTATCGCAACAGGAGTGATCCCCGGTCCAGTGATCGGCGAGGTGTTACACATGCGTGGCCAACACATCGCCATCGTCATCCTTTGCGCGCTCGCGCAGCCTGCAAGCGCCGTACAACCACTCCTTCGCCTCCTCCGCCGCATTGCAATGCAGTGTTTGCAACGCCTCGATCTCGACAACATCATCTGGCAAAGCTTTCCCTGCTTCGTTGGGGAAGAGCCCGCCCCAAACAATCTCAACGAGTTCATCCTTTTTTCTCGTGGACACCCCTGCCACGTGTACACATTTCGATTCGAGTCAAAGTTTGAGCTGCTTCTTTGTAAAACACTTCACCTCTTGCACATGCTCGCAAGCCCCGACTGCAGCTGGTTTGACAGTCTTCGTGCTGCGCACAGCCTCTCGCAAGCGTTTGACCAAAGTCTTCGCCTAATGCCACATACACTTTTGTGAGTCAATGTTCATTCGCCGCAATATGACGTCAACCGCGCCACAATCATCATGTACAACCTCTGCGATTACGAGGTTCTTCTTGTCCTTCAACCGATGTAGCAGTTTCTCAACAAACTGTGTCTCCAGCTTCCATGACGACTCGTTCCCCTGGAGCATGGTCTCCGTCCCCACGATCATTCCTGACTTCAAATCCACCGCTGTCATCGTACAATGCTGAGCGTCACGAGACGAATCGTAACGCCCGTCAATCAAAACGACGACCGGATCGTTCGACCTATGCAATCGCGCGATGACCTTGTCGAAGCTCTTTTGAGTAACCCGTTCGACGTGTCGCAGCCATTGTCAGGAACCTGGGCCGTCATCACGAAAAAAATTATAGAAAGTTTATTTCCTGACCTTCCTCATCCCTAAGCCCCGCATGAGGTTATTCAATTAAGTGTAAGTCATTCCCGCAGTCAAAGAAAAAAAACAATTAAGTCTCAACCCTCGAATTTCTCACCCCGCCCAAGGAAACAACCTTCGAGGAACTCCTGTGCCAAGTGCACCCTTTCCTGCACTCGAATTGCAACTTGCAAATGTGACATGGATAATGGATCTTCTTGATCGTCACCTCAACGTCTTTCCCGTGCCATGGACACGTTTGCTCGAACATCCCGAGAATCTGTAGAAGTTTAACCGGCTCAATGAAAACGACATCACGTCTTGCTTTAGCATCCCACATGGCGATTTGGTCCCTCTCGCTCAATCGTTTAAACATCAGACCATTATCCGAATATCCCGGCTTGCCGTCGCGCCATTTCAATGCGTCACTGCGAGGTCTGTCACCTCGCAACTTTGGTGTCGCCGTTGCATCCGATCCTTGTCCGCATGAACCCCCATGGCCAGACGATTGTTCGTCGGGGCCGTACTTTAATATCAGCTCATCAATGTGAACGGAACTCCACTCCATGAGCTGATCGAACACGTCCTCCTACGAACAATGATTTTTCTTCTTATCTTCGGAACCTCTAGTGCGAGTCGACAACTTCTTCCCCATCGCCTTCGCAATCTCACCCAGGCGATTTTTTTGATCAAATCTACATCGCACCCAGTGAGGCTTGCGTTCACGAGGTGTACTGGACCTCGTACGGGGCCATCGAGGCGAGAAACTCATCCCAGCCTCGCTATCATTAGCCGGGGAAAAAACATCGCGTGCACAGTTGATGGAAACCGGAGTGCATGATGTCGGCTGCACTGCTTCGATCGGTGAACGTGTGTCTTCTGTTCGACGAACAGGATCCGACGCAAAGACACCCGCAACGGGCACCGCGCCGGAGTTGTCATGGCCCGAAGACGGGAACGACCGCTGCAAACCAAATCGATGCGCAACGTCTATAAACTTTGTTGAACACCGCACATGCTCTGACTTCCGGACCAAGGCGTCGGCAACATCGTTGCGAGAGAGCCCATGGGCGAAGAAAATGGAGGACGAGAAGAAAGCACAGCGGATTGCGCAAACGAAGACATTGCGAGATCGCCAACGAAAGTGGGGAGAACCGGGATTGCAGCAATGGCTGCACGCATGTGACTCAGGAGAGGAGTTTGTGTGACATTTGTCGAATTCAGCAAAGGAGGGAGCGACAGAACGACCATTCTGTCATCCAAACGCTGCCTGGTTGTAGGTCTCTCCAATATACAATCCGCTCGAGTGCGTCCGCGTGGATCCAAAAGGCCTCTCCCTCGACCGCGTGAAATATCATGATACACCGAAGAGCCTTGCAAAGAAGAAAGAGCGCGTGAGGCGGATGGAGATGAAGAGAGAGGAGTAGGAAGCAACGGGGATTTCGGCGACGGCAGCAGAGCTGCAGGAGGTTGTTCGCGGTCCTTGTTGATGCCCCTGCTCTATGGATGCAGAAGGGCAGATGCACCTGCACACGCCAAAGCACAGTATCACGGATCACGTGCGTCCCATCACAATATATATATATATATATATATATATATATATATATATATATATATATATATATATATATATATATATATATATATATTCGGCGAACCAACGTTGTTGACGACATGCACACAATTGCACCCTACATGACAAGTCTGCCCCTCCATTTCTACCGCATTATCCGCGTTCATTGCAATACGAATGTATACACTTTATTATTTTGCATGACATATTATTCATTCAAAATTTTTGGAAACATTTTTTTTTTTTTTTTTTTTTTTTGTTCCTCGTTCGGGCAAACGTCTCAATTTGGAAGTCAATTTGGAAGCTACCTTTCTTTGAGTTCTCAATTTGGAAGCTACCTTTCTCAATATTTTATTTTTTCGTAATTTTTATTTTTTTGACTTCTCTGTTATGTAAGCTACCTTTCTCTCAATTTGGATGTCAATCTGCAGAGCTAAAAAATAATGAAAAATTGGCAAAAATGGTGGTCTCAAAACTTGCTTTCCCAATTACAAATTTGTTTGTTTTCTCTTTTCACTTTTTGTTTTCCCTTTATTTCAGAGCCTGAAAAAAAATATTCTTTTTTTCTAATATTTTTTGTAGATTGTCTATTATGTAAGATACATATGTATAAAATTTCATGCCATTTGACAAAGCCAAAAAAAATTAAAAAATCGCGAAAGATGGCGGTGTTAAAAACTTACTAGCCTACGCAATAATTTCATTTTCCTTTCTTTTTTCTTGCTTTCAACATAAATTTTCATTTTTCGTTTTTCTTTTTTAGTTCAAATTTGGTAAGGAATTTGGATGTACTGTTGATGCAAATGATATTTAGTTTATTCTTCTGCATGACAAATTTAATTTTTCACAATTTTTTGGAAAACTTCGTTGTTGTTTTTTTTTTTTTTTTTTTTTTTTTTTTTTTTTTTTTCTTTGGTTCCGCATTCGGTCGAACGTCCGAACGCGTCGACAGGGGGTTCCAAACGTTCGGGCGTTCGGGTTCGGTTGCCAAGGGCCCGTCCCGAACGCCGGTTACCATATATATATATATATAATAGTCACAACCCCTCGTTCGTTAACCTCTTCTCTCTCTCTGCCTACGGTATGTATATATATATATCGTCACAAACAGAACTGCCCAGTATATATGTATATGTATATCGTCACAAACAAAACTGCCCGGTAAACCGTAGGCAGAGAGAGGGAAGAGGACAACAAACGAGGGGCTCTGACAAACTGTTTCGTCGAAGTTTCACCCGACTCATCAGGATATATATATATATATATATCGTCACAAACAGAACTGCCCGGTAAATTGTAGGTAGAGAGAGAGAAAAGGACAACAAACAACGGGCTGTGACAAACTGTTTATATATATATATATATCGTCATATATATATATATATTTTTTTTTTATTTTTTTTTTTTTCTACCCAAAAAAAGAAAATAAATTAATTAAACAGGGTTTTTGTTTTTTTTTGACTATCGTGTATATGATATGGGTTCAGTGTGTCGAGTCAGTGTGTAGACGGTTCAACCTCCTTATAAGTCCGTCAAACTCCAACGAAACTATTTCTCACACATCTCATCGTTTGTTGTCCTCTTTTCTCTCTTTCTGCCAACGGTTTACCTGACACTTATGTTTGTAACTATATATATATATATATATATATACACATTCAGCCTCCTGATGAGTCGGTGAAACTCTGACGAAACAGTTTGTCACAGCTCCTCGTTTGTTGTCCTCTTCTCCCTCTCTGCCTACGGTTTACTGGGCAATTTTATTTGTGATGATATATATATATATATATATATAAAGCGTTACCTGACCGAACGTTCGGGGGGCCCCGGGCTGGCCCCCGAGCGTTCGGGCGTTCGGAGTCCCGTTCAAGGGCCGAACACCTCCAGGTTCGGTCCACGCCAAAAAACATTTCGAGGCTTAAAAATACGTTTGATTTTCTGAATTTTTTTTTGTGAGTACTCTATGATGTAACGTATACGCCTATAAAGTTCGAAGGCATTTTGCTGAGCCATAAAAACACTAAAAATCGTCAAAGACGGGGGGCAAAACGTACTCGCCCACTTACTATTTTGTTTTTTTTCACTTTTAACTTTTTGTTTTCATTTTATTTCGGGGTCTAAAAAATTTTATTATTTTTTGAAAACTTTTTAACGAGTTATTGATTATGTAAACTACATATCTGTAAATTTTCAGGGCATTTGTAAATGCCAAAAAATAATTAAAAATCGACAAATGTGGCGGTGTTGAAAAGGTGCTGGCACACTCACTCATTTTAATTCTCTTTTTTATTTTTTTATTTTTTTATTTTTATCATAGTGTTTATTTTGTGTATTTGATTTTTAATTCAAATTTGGTAAGAAATTTGGATGTAGTGCCCAGACTTATGTTGTTTAGTTTTTTTTCTCCATAACATATTTGTTTTTTAAAATTTTTGGAAAAGTTTTTTTTTTTTTTTGTTTTTTTTTAATTTGGTTCCGCGTTCGGCCCGAACGACCGAACGCCTTCCGAAGAGGTCCCGTGCGTTCGGTAAACCGTTGGCAGAGAGAAAGAAAAGAGGACAACAAACGACGTGCATGTGACACACTGTTTCGTCGGAGTTCGTCGGAGTTTGATCGCATGGTGTTTTTTTTATCGTCACTAACAGAACTGCCCGGTAAATCGTTCGCAGAGAGAGAAAAAAAAAGTGAAGGCAGTCAAACTCTGATAAACACCGCGCTCTCAACGGACAAAAACGATCGAAAAATAAAGCATAAAAATAAAATAAAATATATATAAACAAAAAAGATAAAATGCGGTGAAACTCCGACGAAACAGTTTGTCACATGCGCCTCGTTTGTTGTCCTCTTTTCTCTCTCTCTGCCAACGGCTTACCGGACACTTATGTTTGTGACTATATATATATTGTCAAAAACAGAACTGCCCTGTAAACCGTAGGCAGAGAGAGAGAAGAGGACAACAAACGAGGGGCTGTGACAAACTGTTTCGTCGGAGTTTCACCGACTCATCAGGAGGCTGAACCCTCAACAGTCTGCAGAATCCCCTCACTG